AGCAAATGACTTGGACCGATTATTAATGTGGCGTTAATGTCTTTGAACGCTTACAGTCACTAAGATTGTAGGCAATAAACTCCACATGAAGTGCCTGCATCTAATTGATTTAACTGTACATGCCATACCGCCAGACTTCTTAAGCAAATGTGAGCAATAGTTGAAAAAAACTCGAGCGAGGGGAGACGTAAATGAAGGAGAAGGGTGAAGGAATAGAAGGGTTAAGAAATAGGGTAATGTATAAGGGTCGAGGAATAGGGTCTAGTCTGTATAGGAGGGAATAGAGTGTGTTCTATAGTAACGCGACCTGGGCGCATTCATTAAGAGATATAGAGCCGTAGTCCCGCTTGCTAACTGAGCTCAGGGGAGACAATGAACGACTCCCATGCTTCCTCCATGTGCTTTACATGCGCAAATTAACTGAAACCAGGAACTATGGGAACTGCTTGCATCTTTGACGGGTGCGATAGCTTGCCATCTCGAAATAACCTGGAGAAATATTCGCGGAAAGTATGTAAGATTTCCTCTTCATGTCAGGAATTCCTTCATCTGGGCTGAATATTAATCGAAGAGTATCTTAATAGATTTAATACAGTTACAGTTTAATAAAGTTAATACAAATAACAGGCTTTGGCGAAAATTTAGAACAATTAAAGAAATAATAGGACCAGACTAGAGATCTTAATCTTTCAATTCCATATTGCCTTATGAATTTGATTTTTTTAAATAGAAGCGATAATATAATTACATATTAATGATATTATCTGGGCTTCACTCTTTGACGTATTTCTGATGGCAGTGCTGGTACCCTTTATAATCTACTATTAACTAGGTAATAATTGGAAAGATGCTAATTTCCCGTATACATATATATGCATGTCGCCCAAAAAGTATGACTAATGTCAAAATAAATAAAATATGAGTAAGATAAATAAAGTAGTGTAAGAAATAAAATAAATTGGCATATTACATTGATAAAAAAGAGTTTGAAAACAATTTGGCAGTTGCCGTCAACACAATAAGTGTTGATATATAAGTAACATTTATATATGATAATATTGGCTTCCGTTGCATATAGACATTCATAGATGCCCTCCCCGAATTTTTGTTAATGTATAGTATTGGGAAGTGTAAAATAAATCTGTAAAATATAGCTATTGATCCAAGGAAATGCTGAAGCTATAGGATGTGCTAGTATTCATGGATAAGCTAACAAAATCGGTAAAATTAAAGGCTCCAATAAAGACAGAGGGATGATAAACGACATTCAAATGCAATACTCAGCAATTTTAAAGTACGAAATATTCTAAATATGTGCAAAACAGCTCCAAGCGGATGTGAAGGGATGTGAAAGAAAGCGAAGGAATGAAACGCGTCTGAAGTTACAAGAGGGTAGCATAGGCAGCCTGTCGCATTTGAGTGCCTCCACGGCATCGACACTCGAGACGTGATTTACGCAGCATGCCAAATGCCCAGCGACTTTTGCCTCAAACACGCATGAATCAAACTGACAAATGAGCCTAAAAAACGGACGGTGACAGCAGCACTTGCGAGCATCTTGAAACTCCGTTAGTTTTTCGTCGACACCGAACCTCTCAACTTGCATTCATCAATGGATGAGCACTTGGGTCGGTAAAATCTTTGGCAGTTCACAGCAACGTTGATTTTTTAACCTTGAATTCTCTCTCCAATAATGATTCATTCGTTTATTAAATTTTGTACGTTAACATGAACTGTGTTATGTTAATTTTTACATGATGCTAGTTGATCGTATTCAAGGTTAATGGTAATTTTTTTTTTTAATTTATCTCCGATAATAGTCTTCTAAAATTAACAAGCCTTTATTATTATACATCACACACGCGCCGCTTAAATCAATAATATTCAGTTCCAAAAACTGCAAAACTTGGATTTACATCTCACTTCATTTGGAAATGCAAAGAATCGATTTAATCATTTGGATTATATTACTTTTATTGATTATGGAAATTTTATTATAGATGATGTCATCTCGTGACTAATATTTAGCAGCCACAACTGGATCATTAAGTCGTAAACCATAGCAGATCTAATGATGTTAATTATAGTTGCCGGAGTGTATGGATATTTGCCACTAGACTGGCCAGTTATTTGCTCAGACTGGCTAGACGTGCAATTATTTGATCAATTTAATGTTTTGTCCATAATAAATGACCACACGAGCCACGCAGCTGATAGACACTAAAAGAAAAACCTCTCTAGTCCGCTAGGCGTTCAGACTACTAAACTCTCTAGTTTCTAGTTCGTTAGCTTACCCAGAAGCCTTTAGCTTCAATAATTGGCCGAGTGGTTTCCAGCGTAGTACTGGGAATTTATCTTCGTAATGGATCCCAATTTTCACCCAAAATTTTAAAAATTTTAACCAACCCAAAAATAAAAAAAATTCCAGAATTTCTTATCCAGTCATGATGTAAATTAACAGTCGCAAAAATGTGCAGCTCCACACAATTTTGGTTCGAGGGCAAGAACGACAAACTTTGCAGCTCTCCATTCGCCAGACTAATGCGGTATCGTGAGAAATGCTTCGCAGAAATCAACCGAATGTTGAAATTCTATTCAACAACTCCGAATGTTGGAAAATCCAACACTGCATGTTGGGAGACCATTAAATGGAGGCTGACTGACATGCAGCCAGTAGCCCGCGGCCCCGCACCAACTTTGCGTGGATATTAGTATACAGAAACGTAATTTCTGCACTTGATTCATTGAAATAAAGCTGAACTTGACTTAACTCTCCAGCATTAACTAAAACATGATCATCATCACGAAAAGCTAAAACTTATTACAATATTGACGATTTGCGAGCTGAGTGTCAATGGACAAACTGAGTACTAAACCAATGGTTTATAGTACTCGCAGCCATTGGCCAAACTGAGCCAATGGCCAAACTGAGTACTAAACCAATGGCCAAACTGAGTACTAAACCAATGGCCAAACTGAGTACTAAAACAATGGCCAAACTGAATGCAGTGATAATTTACGAGCTGAGTGCAAAATTAATGGCTAAGCTGAGTTCTAAACTGCATTTACCAAAAGATTTTGGGACGCTAGTCATTCAAGAATCCATAGGAGTCAAACTGTGGCTCATATAAGAGGACCACTTGATGCACTCGTATCCGAGTATCCTAATTAATATGGGTCCTTTATTTCCTGGGTCTTCTATTCTAGCAAGAGTTCTAATAAATATTTAGCCCTTATATAACCCTGTTGCTCTCACCAGAGTTATAATTATTATTTAACTTTTTTAACGCTACAATTCTTTCCAGAGTTATAATATTAATTTTTAATTTTTTCTAGCACTGCTATTTACACCAGAATTCTAATTAATATGGAAGGTTATGACTTAAATGAAATTAAACATAACACGCATATTATAATGAATTCTAAAAAACAGAGATGAATACAGTATAAGGCAATACAATTATTCCACTTGCAAATAAAAATTTCACGACCACAAGAACAGATTTGCAGCAGAAGTGCAGAATTGCTAACAGCCTCCACTGGTCACGAATTCAGCATTCCGAGCCAGCCTGGCATGAGTTCCACATTAAAATTTATCGCCGGCGTATGGTAGGCCAATCGCTGGCCATTGGCCGGCCAATGATGATACGATAAATTTTTCTCCAGAATGTCGCCTAGAACTCTAGGCCGCTATCACCAGCCTTGGCGACAGCCGCATTCTGCGCTGGACGGGCGAATAAAATGCATTCGATAGCCTTTATCACCTTAGCTGATATGTTTGTGCCTCTACAATAATGCTATTCTTACCTGAAGTGGTGTTAATTTTCGCCGAAGTATCCGTTCCCTACATGGAAGTGACTCAGATGCTCTCGAGAGAAGAAATTTTTCTCGAAAGTGAATAAATAAATTTTTGGCACAGAAATATTTTACCATAATAGTGCGAATCGGCTAACATGAATCAATAATTATCATGTAAACCTGCCGATGAAACGTCGAGTATTTGACAAAGTTACATGTAATCGCCATCATTCAGGCATAATCATCATCCAGGAAATCAGCGAGGCCTAATCTGATTATTTGCGCTGGCGGGAACAAGGACAAGTTGTTCACTGCGAGGATGACGTGACAAAAGTTGGCCCATTTACGTATTTTTTCCTCGTTTTTTTTTGCAAAAAAAATTCGAGCAGTCATGCATTTGCAAACTTTTAATCAGTCCATGTACAATTTTTTGTACCAATTAAGAAGTCAGCTGAAGCTGGCATGCAGCGCATGACCTAATATGGCGCTCTGATGAATGTGACGACGAATGATGAGATGAATGAAGAGATGATTGGAGAAATGAATGAAGAGATGAATGTTGACCAGATGGTAGAGAAAAACATAGATGTGAATGTAGTGTCGAATATTGTTCATTATTGGACTGCGCTCGTGTCACCGTTGGCACGTACATTTCAACATTGAAAAATGGAATTTTAAAATCTTCCGTAGAACGTTAATGGTTTTCAAATTTTATTCAGTAATATAAATTGATAATAACTGACGAGCATTATGAATTCACAGGCAAAATAATCTAAGTGAATCAGTTTATCTTCAATTTACGATGTCATCACATTAATTACAAGCTTGTTGCTCAGCAAAGGAATACCAGCGATCCATGAAGGCTACCGCCAGGTTGGACGAAATAGCGGCTTGGCTGCAACAGTGTTCACTAAACAAATTATTTCCATCATGCAAGATTTAAACAAAAGTGAGACCGCGTGGCTGCTCCACAATGTTGTGTAACGGAGAGACCGAGCACTTATACAAAGCTAGCATATACGAGAAGAGAAAGCAAAGAAATAATGAGAGGAATTCCGATGTATGTCGCGAATAAATCATGTTAAGTGTCAGCTCACATGAGCCACGTAGTAACTTGAATATGAATAATTCTTTATTAGTATTCGTAAGAAACTCCATGAATGCTCCCCACTACGAAATATTTGTAGAACAACGAGACTAGACTAACCTGCACACAAGTCTGGGTGTGGAGGTAGGCCATAGAGTCCTAGCAGCCTCCGCATGGTGAGCTGGGCGTAGTCGGGCAGGTTGGGGTTGTACTTGGAAGAATCCGCGGTTACTGGGGAAGATACCCTAGGGTGTTCCATGCCATTCAAAGGGGACGTGGATCTCCTGGGCACATTTGCTGCAGGCATATTGTTGATTGGGGAAAAGCGTCGTGGAAGTAGAGATCTTCGAACGGGAGTCTCGGACAAGTCCAGCGGCGAATCACCACCTCTTCCGTTGCTCAGGGTAACTCCGCTGTTGCTGAGGTAGGTTTCACCCGCACACATGTTGCCGTCTTCGGAAGGGTCGACCTCATCGTCGTGATTTTCAGAAGTTTCATCTTGTGGATTATAAACTATGTTCCTAGGAAGGAAGTTTTTCCGTTTATTTCGTCTTCCTTCCTGTTGTGGTACGGCCAAAGAGTCTGTCGAAGTGGTGTCGTTGTCTGGGAACACGCGGCTTGACGAAGAGTCCTCGTCGATGAACATACTGTTGGTGTCATCACATTCCATGTGCTCTTCGTAAGCACGGAGCACTTCAGAAGACTCTTCTTCTGCTGGGTCTTCGGCAGCGCAAGGGGACGACGCTTCTTCCAACACACCGTCGGTCTCCATCCTCGACATGTCCTCTTCTTCCTCGTCATCGTCTTGCTTCTCGCACTCCACGCTCGTTGACGGATCTGGTGATGGGTATTGCGATGCTTGCTTTAAAATAAGTTAAATATACGAGATATATACTTTCAAATAAAACATACATTAATACATACATGATTGTTAATTGTAATGTTTTGTGTATGACTGTTTTACCAAGGATGGGCAGCCAAAATTTACGAATAATTTGAAACCATATAGAGCCATTATTTTTTATATTTTACAAGCAATGAATTTGTTGCATTGAATAATTGAAACACCTGATCGATTAGCTCGTAAAAAAATTCAGTCTGAATTTATATTCAATTTTAAAATTTAAATAATAATGGAATTCCTAAGAGCCGTACTGATTGATCATCCACGTAGAAATTAAATTCCAATCTCAATTGCAGATCTTGATTTGAATTTATTACGAAAGCGTATTCCTTTGCGTACCATCTCAACTCTAAACTGAATCAACCCCCACTAAAATAAATGGGTCATATAGTCCAAATTGTGACACACTTTCAGCACCTAGTACTGGCACGTCCTTGCTCTTTAGCAAAAATAGGTCAGGATGACACACAAAAGGGGCAAAAAATGCATCGCTATTTCTACAAAGACTCACTTGCTTCATTAAGATTTCGAGTCTGAGTCTGCGTTTGTCAAGATTAACTGATGTACAATAATTGTTTTTTACTATTATACGTTATGCTAATTACTACAATACCGATTATAATGATGTAGAATAATTGTTTTATACCATCAAACGATTATAGGTACTATAATTGCTATTATAGTGATTATACTTATATATAATAATTGTTTTATACCAGTATACGGTTATACTATAATTGCTATTATAGTGATTATACTTATATATAATAATTATTTTATACCAGTATAAGGTTATATAAATTTTATTTCCGCCTGAATTTTGATCACATTGCGCCATATATTACAAATGTTGATATTTACCTTGATGATGGAGCTGATGAGGGGCGGGAGGGTCAGTGTAGGGGGATGTGGGGGGGAGGAGGTCAGGGTGTGCTGCCGTCACCACCTCCATCGCCTGCTGGGAGGCCAACATCAATCGTCAATCACCGGCAATCATCGAGATGACGTCATACTTATTATACGTCGACTTAATCTCGCTTTACTCAAAAATATCACTAGCTAAATGGTGACTTTATATATGTATATAGTGTTAATAATTACCCGAGATTAAGCATTTAATGAAACTTTCAGAATGTAAAGAGCGTAAGAGATTACAGTGAACACAATTACGTGAATTTGAAGTTATGATAAATTAGGATAAATTAAGTGGGGGCTGCAATGTTATATAACTTAGTTGAGTGACACTCATAGGAAAAATTGTGAGTTGGACGGGTGACGATGGCCAAATATTCATACAAATTTGAAATTTTACTGCAAGATGAATTAAAAATTAAAGACTTATTGTCAAGTTTAGCAAATTCCCCACCATTGTCCCAATGTTCTCACAACTACGTTACTATTGTCCATGAGAAACATGTTAGTCTCACACACATTATACCACACCGGAAAATCAATCCTTCTATTCGATATTTCTATCTCGACTAAATAAAAATAATTGTTGCCATAAATAACAATAATTACATTCCTTGCTGAAACCCGTGATATTTGTGAGTAAAAATAATCATAGTGATATTTATGATTATGATTGATTAAATAAAGAGAGTATAAATAAAAATCAAGTAAAGACTGCCTCTATGATTATGACTGATTACGTAATCATAATGATATTTTAAATAAAGGCATAAATTTCGAATCATTTTCGAACTCGACCCATTTCATAGACCTTGTAATAAAATCATAATAAATAACAACGTGTATGTGTCAGAGTTGACATTTACTAGTATATTTACAATTCATAGAAGAATAACACCATGAATGAAAAAATTTATCGAATTATCGACATTGGCTGCAGCAACTATAAATTCTCAATTAGAACTATTATTTCGACAAAAAATACCTAGAAAAATGGCCAGTTTAGGTATAGTAATATAATGAAGAAAAAATTCAATAAAGAATTCATCTGCTGTAGGAATATTACGAATGAAATATTCTCAAAATTCACACATGGTGTGAATTCATGCGAATGAAGTATATTTCATTCGTATGATTGAAGAATGAATTCTTGATTCATATGAATGAAGTACTCTTAAAATTCACGTCATGTGTGAATTCTATGCATGACAGCAAGAGATCAATGCAAGTATTCAATGAATATACGAACACTTCATTGTTTGACTTTGGAAGAAAACTTATGTCGTCCATTGCACGCAATCCTGAGCTTCTGCATTAATGAACGCTAAGCAATTTAGCGTGCATGTTTCATGCCATTATTGCTTGTAAAATCTTGCCCTCTACTGTAGAGTGGATTGTCCTCTACTGCAGAGTGGGTTGCTCTCTTCTGCAAAACGCCTCTGTTTCCAAGTGGGCTGCCCTCTACTGCAGAGTGGACTGCTCTCTACTGCAGAGGTGACTACCCTCTGCTGCAGAGTGGACTGCCCTCTACTGCAGAGTGGGCTGCCCTCTACTGCAGAGTGGGCTGCCCTCTACTGCAGAGTGGGCTGCCCTCTACTGTGGAGTGGACTGCCCTCTACTGCAGAGTGGGCTGCCCTCTACTGCAGAGAGGGCTGTCCTCTACTGTAGAGGGTTGCCCTCTACTGCAGAGTGGGCTGCCCTATACTGCAGAGTGGGCTGCCCTCTACTGCAGAGTGGGCTGCCCTATACTGCAGAGTGGGCTTGCCTTTTCCTCTGTTACCGACGAAGGGCATTGACATCTTAATAATCAAACCTTCATTAAATTTCTTTATATAACTGTTTTAACTAACGCTTCACTAGTACTAGAATCTAAAATAATTAAAATAAACAGACTAACAGTGAGCTCGGCACGTCTGTATCTGCCAAATACAAACATTTGCGATGTAGAGAAATTGTTCAATGCATAATTCACTGATAATGTATTGTGGTTGACTATCCGATTTCTATGTTTAAACCCGGAATTTTTTCAAGGTAATTAAATAATTTGACGATTATTCGAATACAGTTAACCCGATTAAAAGTTATGCCTTGTCTTTTAGGCTGTTGTAATGCAGATAAATTAGTTAATGTTTAAATAGGACTCGTGCATATTTCAAGAAATTTATTGGCATATTTTCCTTATTTATTTATTCACCAATTCACCGAAGTTGATCGATACACAAGCAGAATGTCGGCTTTTGTGCCGATTTTTTGAACATTTTATATGCAGATTTGCTTCTTACTTGATCATTTGCTAGCTTTTTACACATTTTTCTGCCACCTATCATGCAATGTTTATGAACAGACCTTTTGTCTTTATAATATGAATTGCATATGTTGCCGCAAACTATAATAGGAACGAGTAACCATCGGAATAATTTATCTTTCTGGTACTAATTGCAATATTAATTAATCGATAAAGCATCGTCTCACAATACTAATCCATGTCAAACAAAAGTCTTTTCAATATATACGGAAGAAGTATATGCTGAACTCTTAAGTGAAAATCCTTCCGATATCTGCCCACCCCAACCCGCTAACTGCACACTCAACAAACCACGCACGCGACATGGTTTTTATGATGCAAAACCTGGTGTTTTACACCAGCAGTTGGACTTAAGAATTCACATTAGTGGCAACGGCCAAGCTTGAAGAAAATTATGCCTAAATTACCTTGGGCGTCGAGAAAAAAATCTAGCTTTTCACGGTGTAATGTGGTTGCCCCGCACGCAAATTGACTTACTGCCGTAAATCAATTCCGACTTTTGCTGCGTTAATGTTGAGAGAATTAACAATGAAATTTGCCCATTTTGAGATTATAACATTTATAATATATAACATTATATGCTTTTAAATTGTTAAAAAGGATTTGATGTTCTAAAAAACTTACGAAATGAGCCGGTACAAATTTCCGATTTCTCTTATCCTAGTTCGATTTTTTCCAATTAAAAATTTTTTATATATTGACAATTTTTTCCAATGCTATTAATTACGTCTGCTGCGTTCTGACTCTCGTCCTGTCAGTTCCACTTAATTGGGACATCATAGCTCAAGTTACACACATAAAAATATTGCCATGCAGTTTGCGTAATATCAACTGGTGTAAGGTTAACTGGTGTAAGGTTAACTGGTGTAAGGTTAACTGGTGTAAGGTTAACTGGTGTAAGGTTAACGGGCGTAAGGTTAACTGGTGTAAGGTTAACTGGCGTAAGGTTAACTGGCGTAAGGTTAACTGGTGTAAGGTTAACTGGTGTAAGGTTAACTGGCGTAAGGTTAACTGGTGTAAGGTTAACTGGCGTAAGGTTAACTGGCGTAAGGTTAACTGGTGAAAGGTTAACTGGCGTAAGGTTAACTGGTGTAAGGGTAACTGGTGTAAGGTTAACTGGTGTAAGGTTAACTGGTGTAAGAATAACTGGTGTAAGGTTAACTGGCNCAACTGGCGTAAGGTTAACTGGCGTAACATCAACTGGCGTAAGGTTAACTGGCGTAACATCAACTGGCGCAAGGTTAACTGGCGTAACATCAACTGGCGTAGGGTTAACTGGCGTTACATCAACTCGCGTAACATCAACTGGCGTAACATCAACTGGCGCAAGGTTAACTGGCGTAACATCAACTGGCGTAAGGTTAACTGGCGTAACATCAACTGGCGTAAGGTTAACTGGCGTAATATCAACTAGCGTGAGGTTAACTGGCGTAACACCAACTGGCGTAAGGTTAACTGGCGTAACATCGTATGGTGTAAGGTTAACTGGCGTAACATCAACTGGCGTAAGGTTAACTGGCGTAACATCAACTGGCGTAAGGTTAACTGGCGTAACATCAACTAGCGTGAGGTTAACTGGCGTAACATCAACTGGCGTAAGGTTAACTGGCGTAACATCAACTGGCGCAATGTTAATGCACACACTCATACGATTATCGACGAGTGTTAGAGCGAAGAGGAAAGCTAAGCTTCGGAACCTTAACCTCAATTTTATGAAACATGTTTTTTTTTCTATCAAAACGAATTTTTATTATAACTGAAGTATCAACATACGTGGACGAAGTGAGGTTGCGTGACCGAGTGTGACGATACAACGGCAACAAACTTTTATAACTTTCAGTATCGTCTGTGCTGCGACGCTACGAAGTTCGAGAAACTTCACAGTATAAGAAAATTTAATCGTAGTGTTTGTTCAAGTTTATAAATCCATGGCCATGCAATGAACTTTCAAGATTAAAATAAGTGCCTGGCGATATCTCAATACAAAACCTAATACCGAGTTACTTATATTTATTCGATGGTCATATATATTTTTATATTATGTATTTATCAATTGGTACATAATTTTTGGCAGACTTTAATAGAAAATGCTGAACTATATATCGAATCTCTATATTTTCTTCTGCCTTATTCTCCACGTGTTATTCACCAAAGTTGAAATATTCACCTTAGGTAAAGACATTGAGTCGACTTGCATTTCTCGCGCATGCCAAGATTAAGAATTTCTGCCAAAGACTCGACAGCGCAGAGCTCGATTCCCTGGCCGCACAAACGTCAGGATTGTTGACATGCTTCGTGGGTAGCGCCTTGCCAGCCGGCCGCTGCCATCTGCCGCTACTCTCTTCGCACTCACCGACAACATTGCTTAACTTCACGAAACTATTTAAATTTTAATTTTTAATGTCTAAATCGGGGGTAACCAGCGCTAAACTTCACAAAATTATTTAAATTATTTAAATTTTAATTTTCATTGTCTAAATCGGGGTAAAAACATTCACGATGTCCATGCTCAAATTTAGGAAAAATTTAATATATATGGGCTGATTAGTTTCTAAGAAAGGTAAAGAAAGGATTGTTTCTAGCCAGCTAACTACTATCTTTTGATTGATGATCATTCATTCAAGAATTGATTTGCATGCTATAATTATATTTTTTTATGAACACACTTAATTTCTTTGATGAATGAAAACTCACTCCCAACCCACCATACAATGTCACCAATTGACAACATTCCACTCATA